AAATATAGTGCCTGATATGATTTTTAGTTTCAAAAGCAATTTTCATTCCAATTCTTGGTATGAAATCATGCCACACTCTGCCCACTAAATACAGCAGTAAAACCTTAGCAAAATACATGTGGCAGATACTTGAGGTGCCTGAAGAGAAGACACTAGCAGGCAAATTTGGGAGGAAGGCAATCAATGAGTTGGTGGTGAATTTATGAATTTTTCCTCTGATACTTCCTAACCTAGTATCAATACAGTGTAAAAGTACAAAATTAGAAATCAATACAGAGTAAGCTTGCAAAAATCCACCTAGTTCTGACTTGAGGGTCAGGAAAGGCAATTTCTGATGCTTAGAGTGAGGAATTTTTTATTTTTTATTTTTTTATCTTTTCTCCATTGTCTCACAACCCTGGGCCCAAGCAACTCCACAGTAGGGCTGTGGACAAAGGAAGCCACAGGCACCTCTGGGTAAGGTGAGAGAGAAATTTAACTAGAGTAGTTGTGGTCCTGAGTAAGGAGGAGCCTTTGCAGGCTTTTTGTTTGTTTTTGTCTCTCCATATGTAGCTCCAGATGTACCTGCAGTTGTGGGAAGCTGCAAAGCAGAGCAAAGTATATGAAGCTCCAAGTTCCAGAATTCTGGTGAATCCCAAAGATAATAAGTCAAATGATGATAATATAATCATTTTCATTTACCAACCAAAAGTAGAATCTTAGAAAAATATCAGAGAAAAATAATAGATTAAGTATAGGGTAGTAATGGTTTGAATATTTATAGATTTTGCATCAGAGCTGATGGAGAGCAGAAGAAAATTTTAAAAAATTTATTAAATTTTCAAAAGAACATGAACATGATGGTACATGGCTATACAGTAGTCCCAGTGCTTGACAGGCTAAGGTGGGAGGACTGTTGTTGAGTTCAAGGCCAGCCTGGGCTACATAGTGAAACCCTGTTTAAAGAAAAAAAAAGAAAAGAAGCAAAAGAAGGAGCAAGACCTTCTCTCCTCACCACCACTTGTGCTCATCCCGATACCTGTGTACTCCAAAAAGGGGGAATGATCTGGCAAAAATGTCACCTTGCCTGCTGGGTCCAAACCCCCTGTTTGACCAAATATTGTGAATTTTGTTCACACCAACTTGCAGAAAAACAACCAACAGCCTTATATTGTCAGCAAATTAGTAGGTCATCAGACCAGTGCTAAGTCTTGGGGAACTGGCAGAGCTGTGGCTCAGATTCCCAGAATTCATGGTGGTTGGACCCACTGTTCAAGCCAGCGTACCTTTGTGTTGGGGAAGCTGCATGTTTGCACCAACCAAAACCAGGAGCCATTGGCATCACAGAGTGAACACAACCCGGAAGTGGTATGCCATCTGCTCAGCCGTGGCTGCCTCGGCCTTGCCCATGCTGGTGATGTCCAAAGGTCATCAAATTGAGGAAGTTCCAGAGCTTCCTTGTGGTGGAAGATAAATTTGAAGATTACAAGACTAAGGAGGCAGTTTTGCTTCTGAAGAAACTTAAGACCTGGAATGATATCAAAAAGTCCATGCCTCTTAGCAAATGAGGGCTGGCAAGGGTAGAATGAGAAACTGCTGTCGCATCCAGCGCATGGGACCTTGCATCATCTATAATGAAGACAATGGAAATATCAAGGGCATTACTCTGCTCAATGTAAGCAAACTGAATATTTTGAAACTTGCTCCTGGTGGGCATGTGGGGTGTTTCTGCATTTGGACTGAAAGTGCTTTCTGGAAGTTAGATGAACTGTCTGGCACTTGGAGAAAAGCTGCCACCTTCAAGAGTCACTATAACCTGCCTAACGCACAAGATGATCAATACAGAGCTCATCAGAATCTTGAAGAGTCCAGAGACCAAAGAACACCAACAAGAAGATCCATTAGAAAAATCCTCTGAAGGAACTACGGATCATGCTGAAGCTTAACCCATATGCAAAGACCGTGTGCCAGAACACCATTCATCAGGCCAGTAATCACAAGATCCATATGACTAAAGCAGCTGCACAGACAGCCAAATTGGAAGAGAAGGAAGTTGCCAGCAAGAAGCCTGTGGAAGAGAAGAAAGGAAAGAAAGCTGCTGGTCCCAAGAAGCCTGTGAAGAAGCCTTTGTGGAAATAGCCTGCAGCTCCCAAGAAACCAGCAGAAAACGAACCTGCTGAAGAAAAGAAGCCTGCTGCATAAACTTGGAAAATCTCTGTCCCATACAAGTGCCATGAATTTGGGCAGCTTATTTTAAATAAAGCCTGGTCAAAGAGGGAGTAAGAAAAAAAGAAAAAAGGAAGGGAAGGAAGGAAGAGCGTTATCAACCAGGATTCTGTACACAGCAAAGATGGTCTTCAAGAATCCATGTTGTGATACAGCCAAAGGGGCTCTTACCAGAGGCTGAACAGATGGAGCCATTTGATTTTGGACTTTCACCCTCTAAAGCTGTGAGTTTAAATAAGCCTCTTTTCTTTATAAGCAATGGAAAGTGGAGTATTCCAGTACCCAGCCTCACACAAATGCCTCTCCCAAATAATACTCCAAAGTCCAAAATAATCCAAATATAGTTCACATCATACTTAGTGTGAAAGAATGAATACTTCATTTCTAAGATTGGGAAAATGGAAGGATGTTTAGTCTCACCACTTTTGTGCAACAAAATGTTAAGGGTTCTAGCAAGTGTTACAGGGTAAGAATAAGAAATAAAAGCCATACAGATTGCAAAGGAAGAAATAAAACTGTTTCTCCATGTAGAGAAATCATTTTCTATACATGAGTGTATAGAAAATACAAAGAAATCTATATATTTAAAAAATCTATAAAAGTAAAGTCATTGAATATAAAGTTAACCCTCAAAAAGCCAATTGTATCAAGACAGAATTATAGGAATAGAGAACACCTTAGTGGTTGCCAGGGGCTACGGAGGAGGGAAGGGAGGGAGACAGTTGTGGCTCGCAAAAGCCAATGCAGATGACCCTTGCGATGAATTGTTGTTTCTCCACTACAGAGGTGGTCATACAGAGTTATACCTAACCAGCATTTCATATAACTAAATACACATACACACAAATGACTGCATATAAAACTGCTGAAATCTGAATAAGGTGGGTAATATCAATGTCAATTTCTTGATTGTATGTATTTTAATAAAGTTAGGCAAACTGGTCTGCATTATTTCTTACAATTGCATGGGGATCTACAATTATACCACTATAACGAATAAACTGAAACTCAAACATTACTCCTGAGAATACAAAACACATCCACTCTTAAAAGTATTTTAGCAGTTTATTACAAAGAAGTAATAAACCAGGCAGGTATTTAGACCACTGAGCTATCTCCTCAGCCCCATAGTTCTACTTATAATGAACAAATCAAAACATTTTAAGTGTATTTCAATGTATAAATGCATAAATAAATTATGTGGCATATCTAGTAACAGAATACTAATAAGCAACAAAAAGAACAAACTATCCAACCACTTGAGTGGATAGTAATGGTGTTACGTTGAGTGAAAGAAACCAGTCTTGAAAAGTTACATGTTATATGATTTCATTTATATAACTTTATCAAAAAGACTAAAAAGTCATGGAGAAGAGTGGTTATCAGAGGTCAGCATGAGAGAAAGGTCAAACTACAAAGGGATAACACAGGAAGATTTTTATGTCAGCATCCTGATTATGGTAATGGTTCCAGAAAACTATGTACATGTTAAAATTTAGAGAACTGTGCACCAAAATGAAGTCATTTTTTCAATGTTAATGTAAAAAATAAGATTTAGAAAGTCGTTTTGATATTTATGTCTTATAGTCATTGTATTCATAGAGGCTATTTAGAATTTAGTTAAATGTATAATTTCAAATACAATGTTTTAAAGAATATTTTAGGCTTCATTATATAGCACTCCATTAAATGACAATGGAGTTCACAGAGCATATATGAAAATCTAATTCAAATTCAACTAAGAAAAAAGCAATAGTTTTAATGTTAAAATTTCAGTAAATACCAAGTACAAGAACACTTGTTTCATAACTTAAGTTATAGCTGCAGCCAACATGCTTCACAAGTGTCTACTAACTTTTAAAATGTAAGAAGTAGATTTAGTTTTGTTGAGACATTAGTGGTAGTTAAAATAATTTAACATATTAAGTGGTTATAATAATTTAATATAGTAAATAAAAGATTTAAATGATGTGTAAATAGGCTAAAAGCCAAGCAGGTGATTTAAAACAAAGATGAATTTTGTAATTCTTTAATTAAGATATTGGAGGAAAAACTATAATAGTAGGTCATATCAAAGATGACATACATTAGAATCAAATAAATTGTTGTCAAGAAATAAGCATTAATATTCATTAACCCTATAACATTTGAATAAATCAGCCAATGTAAAATAGCCTTTTAGAAAACATCCCTGAATGTCTCTTGAAGGCATATAATGTTTTAAAAATGGATTCTAAATGCTACTTTCAAACCAAGAAAAGAATAAATGCTATACACTCAAATCAGTCAGACCTTCAGCAGCTCCCAGAGGGTTTCTGCATGAAATTGAATAATCTGTGACCGGAGACACTACTCATAGATGAAATAAGTCAGAATTGCATGTGTAAATATTGCATGGTTTCCCTAGTGTAAGAAACTGAAAGAGTAAATAAGATTTAAAAGGAACAGTAGATATAGTGAAAGGGAAAGAAACTGTTCAAACGGAAAGAAGAACTGGAAGGGGAAAAAAGATATGTACATACACACAAGACAGCTAAGATAATTGTACTAATTTCTATTAGTTCATTGAAAGGAACAGTTAGTGCTTTTACTATTTGATCAATTTTGCATGCCTGTGTCTGGCAATCTGAGCAACTACTTTAAAGACAACAATACACAACATAATAACCACTGTTAATTTTCTATCATCTTGTTTTGAAATTCTGAATCATTTTTATTTTTATCACTCTAAAATAAAAAAGAAAATAAAAAAGAAATGTCTATCATAGCATAAACCTGCATGTTCTATATTTCCTTCACATTTTATGGAACATTGGTCCCACTGTAGCTATAATGTCTGCATAGGGAACACTCTGACTCAGCTCAATCACTTGCCGTTTTTTTAGGATAAGAAAGCTATAAAATTTGGCAGCTGCTTGTTTTCGGTCACTATTTCTGCAGAGTTTCTTCAGACTAAAGGACTGCGTTCCCATCTTGTTAGATTCCTGGGAAAATGGTTGGAAAAAGGGAAAAGGAAGGGAAACAAAATCATTAGAATTAAAGCAGGCTATGGATACATTATGAACAATAAAATATTGAGGGTTTTGATAAATGATTATGATATCCTTCCATGGAGAAATACAGAAAACTATAACAAACTTTAAATATTGCCATAGGTCACTAGGCACAATCTTGGATCACGGAAGAAAAACTGTGTGCAAAAGAACCTTAAAGTGTTATATAAATTCATAATGTGTTACATAACTGTTAGGCTTTTAAAAAATTGATGTCAAAATAAATTTTTTTTGTGAAAAGTTCAATAAGTTTAAACTTACAGGCAGAAAAATTCTACAGGACTTTGGAAATATAAATATAATGGAAATAATATTTAAATATAATTTAAATATTTTCATTTAAACAATTTAAGTATATTTAACTATAAATATAATGCAAAAGGTCAGTTTATTAGGCTTCTTTTTAAAAGTACTAGGATGACTCTAAACAATGTTAGTGGTCAATGGAGAAGTACAATTGTATGTCTCAGTGCCAGTGGAATATGACTAAACACTCCCAATTTCTTTATACAGACTAAAAAGATGTTGGACCATTATAGGGCACCTGTATATCGCTAGAAATAAGTACAACAAAGTAATTATGAGTGAAGAGAACTTCTTCATAAAGACTAAGACTTGGAATCACCTTCCTACAGAAGTAAAGTTTTTAGATTGAAGTACTGCAGTGAGTACTGGTCAGCAGCCTTATGAGTATCATACTCTTTGGAAAGTTGGTAAGCACTTTTAGAGATATAAGTTTTTGCCAGTTAATAATACCTAACAAATTAATAAATGAACACTTTATTGTGTTTTGTCTTAGTCAAAGTTGTGGTCCAGAGTCAGCAACCCTTCAAAGACTATAGACTCAGCTTTCATTTATCCCCTCCTTTGTGTGACAAGAAGTGGGTCTGATAGGTTTTTTTTTTTCCCCCTGGAGAGAGTGGAAACACCTTTTTCAATTTTAAGAATTCTCTTGCAAAACCCTGAGGGGACAAAAAAAGCATCATGAGCATATGTGCTTATTTATGTTTCCTTTAGAAGTCGTTTAGAAAAGTGAGAGTAAAGGCAGGGGAGGTAGCTTGGTGGCTTAAGCGCCTGCCTGGAAAGCACAAGGACCCAGGTTCGATCCCCAGTACCACATGTCATGCTGGCCCCACACGGAGCCAGCCACCAAAACCAGGCATGGTGGCACATGCCTGTAATCCCAGCACTGGGGAAGCTGAGGCAGGAGGATCACTAGAATCCCGAGCTGTGGAGTGAGACCCTATACCAAATAAATTAATAAATAGTTTTTTTTTAAAAAAAGAAATAAAACATGACTAATAAAAGAGGTAAAGAGAAATGGAGGACATGACTGACTTAGTAGAGGAGAGTAAGCCAAAACCTAAAGATCAATAGAAAGGGAGAAATCAACAAAATCAAGCCAACTTGAGGTTACAGAACCTTGAAAAAATTTAGGAGCTGGAGATATGAGAATTTCATAAGCTAGGGATGAGACTGAAGATAGAATTCTTTGAGACTCAAGGAGAGTTAGATCTTCTGTCCACTCTACAACCTCTAGACACTTGTACACACTGAAGCAACAGGCAAGAAGTCATTTTTCTGGTGATACCAACCTCTGAAGCTCTGGACTTGGGACATTGGCACTGTAGATCAGGAAGGAAAAGCATAATACCACAAACAAGGAAATTAAGTGATATTGCATACTGCACAATGAAGCAACTAATCTTTACTTGACTTCTTTTTGGTTCCTATACCACTGGTATCTGTCATATATTTTCTAGGTAGTAGATAAAAAGATAGCTCTAAGAAAACTGACCACTCAAAAGAAAAAAATCTTTAGAAGATGATGTCTGGAAAAAGAACCAACTTAATTCACTGAAAGACTACAAGACTACATACAAGTCCTGTTCAGGGGCATGTAACTTCCAAAATCAGTATTTTGGTATCTCAGTCTTAAGTAGAAGCAGATAATCAAAGATCCACCAGACAGCTGAATCTCCAACACTGAAGAATAAGAATACATTCAGGAGAATCACTAAAATAGTTTATGGAGCAGAAGAAAGCTACAACTTCTACAGTTAAGAGATTTTCATTGCATCCCTGAAAAGTGACTTGGGTGATAGCAAAAGAGAGACAGCCACTCTAAGGCATTACAACAGGACACAAGGAGATTTGTTGGGATTTTGTTCATTATCCTGAACAGGGAGATATGTTCATTATCCTGAATGTAGTGATGGTTTCATATGTATATACACAAGTTAGGACTTATATTTAAGTACAAATTCCCTATAATGAAAATGATCATTATGTATCTAAAATGTACCAGTAAATTTAATTTTATAAAAACTCATCTCACTGTAAACTGTACTTTAAACTTGCATAGTTCATTTATGTTAACCATACCTTAACAATACTTATTTTCTTAAGGTACTAGGATTTGCACTGAGCTATATCCTCAGACCTTTTTTATTTTTTATTTTGAAATAGGGTTTCACAAAATTGCTAAATTGCCTAGACTAAATTTGAACTTGAGATCTTCTGTCGCAGCTTCCCAGAGTGCTGGGATTACAGGTGTGTGCCAAAAGGCCTGGCAAAAAAGTCTTTTTTAATCAAATAAATAATTATTTTAAAAGGATAGGATTTTATGAAACAATAAAATAACTAGTAACTAAAAAACAAACATACAAAATCAACTCCTGGAAAACAAAAAGGTGAAAGCAAAAATGAAAATTTTATAAAGAACAAAAGTGGAGAGGGCATCTTTCAGTGAACTAAAAACTACAAAACAAAGGAAATTAATACTGGGAATAAAGGATTATTTAGGAGATTCATTATCTGACCTAAAGGCCCTTCAAGATGAAAGAACAGACAAACCAAGAGGATGTCCAAAACATTTCCTGTAAGCAAATGTAATATCTCATTAAAAGAACATACTACATGTTCAACACAACAAATGTTCAAAAAGGGCACATCATCATAAGATTTCAGAGCCACAGAGATGAAGAATTCAAAAACTTTTAGGGAGAAAACAGATAATATAAAGGATCATTAATCAAGGCAGAACCTGACTTTTCAATAACACCACAAGAATCCTAGAACAGTTACAAGGTTTTCAACATCAGAAATAAATTATTCCTAGCTTATATCCAGAGACAACCAATAAAGTTCAAGGTAAACTAAAGAAAGTTTCAGGTTTATTTGTAAGGTTTCTGTCTCCTACATATTATCTCAGGAAATTATGAGATAATATTAAGCACCAAAATTTTAAGATAAAAGAAAATCAAGGCCTGGGGAGATAGCTCAGTGGAATAAGCACTTGCCTGGCAAGCACAAGGACCTGAGTCCAATCCCTGGTTCTGAAAAAAAAAGAAAGAAAGAAAATCAAATCACCAAGAAACAGAGGAACTAAGAAGGAAAAGAGCCATTTTCATGTTTATGATGAAAGACTGTCCCAAGATAGAAGCTGTGGAACCAACCAAAGAGCAAATAGTTTGGGTTAGAGCAAGAAGAACGACCAGCTCTAAGAGGGTTATCTTCAAGGAAAAAATGAAAATGATGGATTATATTAGATGGATAGAGTAAGGGGGTTTTACTACATTATAAAAAGTTTGAAAAGTAATTAAGGGATGTGTATACAGAGACACTTAATAAATGGAAGAAATAGGTCATGATAAATTCAGGTAAGCACTTAAGCTGCTAAACTATCTCCCCAGCCCCTGGTCATGATTAATTCAAAATGAAAAAAAAATCCATAAAGTTTCTAGGAAATGTAATGACACTGTGAAACTTCAGTATAAATAGTTTTTTTACATAATCTTTGTGGTAAAATGCTAGTTGTCCCTTAATGTCCATTCTCTTCTTCCATAGCAGTAAAACTATTAACTGGGACTAAGGTTACTAAATCAGAACTTTCATTTTCCAAATAGAGATGGCAATGCAAGGTAAGTGCTGGTGAATGTGAAAAGTGACACATAAAATTTCTAGGTTATCAAGCTTGCTGCATAGTTAAACACTTTGGATTTTGGGGATAAGCAAAGCAAGAAAAAGGGAAAGACGTCCCTAAAACTTTGTTAACATAGCTGCATATTAGCTTATATTTTTATCTGAAAGAAAATAAGCTTCTTGTTCTTTTTAAATCCAACTACAGGTTTTATTTAAACTTCAATGTATTTTCACCATTCTTATCTTGTGCATCACTTGAAAGAAAAGCAACTATAGAAACATTTTCATGGCAACTTCTTTCAAAAAAGAGTTGTCTTTCATTCAAAAATTTTAGCTTAGTAGAATAAGCGCTTGCCTGGCAAGCATAAGGTCCTGAGTTCAGTCCCTGTTACCGCAAAAAAAGAAAAATAAATAAATATATTTTAAAATGTATTGTCAATCTTTAAATACTTAGGGTTTTGACAATCTTCAGTAAGACATAGTATATTAACGGCCTCACACACTTCAAGCACTATAAAATTAAAACTGAGTAGTTCTTATGTGCTAGTCAATAAATTTCTTATTTAAACCAAACATATTTTGGTCTTATTTCACAAATCAACCTGTATCACAAATATTGTAACATCGTAAGGACAGAATACTATGTTAAAAATATATTGCAATGGGGGAGCATAACTAAATTTTCACATTCTGTGAAAAAGATCAATAGCTAAAATTTAAAGCTGAGTGTTAAGAAAGATCTGTAAAACGTATCAATTAAATGTATAGATATAAATACTAAGACAGTTTAATACAGTTGCTTCCAATGATCAGGTCTTAGACATAAGGGAGATAGAACAACAGACTTCCGTTGTTCCCTTTCAGCCTTATAGTACAGAACTACTGAACTACAGCTCTTACTTTGATAAAAGCAAATTAAATGTGAAAATTACATGACTTATCCCTCATAAACTGTTATAAACTTAGTTTTGCCTTTAGAATTAATTGTTATATTGCTAAAACTAAGAGTGGGACACAGAACAGATGTCTGGGACCATTAATGTGGGTTGAGTTGATTCAAAAATCGAGAGACCAAAACTTCTATATTCAGCCCAAGGTATACTGCTCAAAATCATCTTATGGGGGCTGGGGAGATGGCTTAGTGGAATAAGCACTTCCCTGGCAAGCTCAAGGGCCTGAGTGCAATCCCCAGTTCCGTAAAAAAAGAAAAAGAATTCCACAAAATCATCTTATGCTAGTGGAATTTGGCTACAACAAAATGATGAAAGACTGCTTTGTTTTCATAAATATCTAGATGATTGAAGTCAGTATGTCATTTATTTTAAAATAAAAATAAAGTTGACAAGCCCTACCATCTTACCTGCAAAGTACTTAACACCTGAAATAATCTTTGATTCCATCTCTCAGCTTCACCATTTTGTTCACTCCTTGATGACTCCTGTTAAGTGATTAATAAATATTTCATTTAAGCAAATTTTATGTTAATCATGTGCTCAGCACAGTGTTAGCTACTACTTGAAACACAACCATAACACTGAGTCTTACCAAACAAAGATCTTATAGTCTGATAATGGTGAGAGTGAGACTAACACAAATGTACATCAATTTGTGCAAGATTAGATGTATACACCCTAAGCTATGTTCTGATGAGGAGAACCAAAGTAGGAGATTCTAGGGCTGGTGCGATAGATCAGTGGACTAAGTGCCTGCTTAGGCAAGTGCAGAGACAGGGACCACAAGCTGGGCTGGCTGAGCCGGCCACGGAGACAAGGAAGGGTGGCACATGCCTGTAATCCCAGTCCTGGGGAGGCTGAAAAACCAGAGGATCATGATGAATCTGAGAGTCTAAGCTATGTAGTCATGTATCAAATACATTAAAAAAAATTGGAGATTCTGCAATCTTTTTGTAATGCATCCGAGAGCACAATGCCTTTATGGAATCTGAAAAGTAAACTTGAAAAAAAAAAAAAAAAGCAGTTTCAGATAATTCTTTTTTTTTTTTTTTTTTTGTCAATCTGAACTCAGCGGACAGGAGTAAATATAAAGCTACATAAAAAACTGTCTTGGTGGGAACATCTCCGGTCCAATCAGAGGTACACTGTGCGAGTGAGACCCTCTGCCGCACCTTGGGACACCCCCACCACTCTGGAGCCCCACCCACAACCGCCCAGTGAGTGAGAACTTCTGCCTTTCTAGGGACCCTCAGATCCAGCCCAAGCCCAGGCCCAGCGAGTGTGTGGGAGAGCTTCAGGCTGCCCTGCCCCTGCGGGACCTCTCCGGTCCAAACTCAGGCATGCTGCATGAGTGAGATCCTCGGCTTCACCCACGGGACCCCACCACCACTTTGGAGCACCCCCCCCCCATGCCCGTGCACCGTGCAGTGAGTGAGAACTTCTGCTGCATTCTCAAAACCCCCAGATCCAGCCCAAACTCAAGCCCAGGGAGTGTGTGGGAGAGCTTCCAGCTACCCTGCACCCCCAGGACTTCTCTGGTTCAAATGCAGGCGCGCTGCACAAGACCCTCTGCCTCAGCCTTAGGACACCCACACCACTCCGGAGCCCCTCCCCCCGACGCCCTCTAAGTGAGTGAGAACTTCTGCCACATTCTCACAACCCCCAGATCCAGCCCTAGTCCAGGCCTGGGGAGTGTGTGGGAGAGCTTTCACTCTGCCCTACTCCCCATTGTCTTCTTCAGACTCAGATCAGGCTTGAAATACAGGCCTGGGGTGAAACTCTGCAGCTGCAGTCCCTGCAGAGAGATTAGGGAACAGAACCACCCAGCTAATACAGGAGCAGAACATCTTGCCACCCGGGTACAACAGGTTCACTCCAAAGGACTGCACCAGGAAGGAGCTGAGCACAACACAGATAGGCACAACTGGATAAAATCAAACTTTGTAGATCTATACCCAAATTTCAGTAGGTGCTAAGGTTATAACTGCACCAAAGATCTACAACAAAGACCAGAGGACAGTGCTATACAAAATGACAACGAGAAGGAGCTCATTGTCATCTCAGATCCCAAGCCCACCCATAACAAGTGCAGAGAACACTACCACAGAACAAATTGGGAATCACACAGCTGAAATCAATGAATCAAGAGCTTCTGAAATAAAGAAATAACTGTAGAAAGGTATAGAGGAACTCAGATTGGAAACAAAAAAGAAAACTCTCAATTAATAGCATCTGAAATAAAGAATCAAATGCAGAAACATATGAAGGAAACCCGATCTGAAAAAACACTCTGCAGTAAAAGAATTAATAACTGCTTCTAAAGAAGATATTGATAAAAAATAGAGGAGATTAGAAAATGACAGATTCCTTGAATGAACAATACAGGAAAGAAATAGATCGCATGAAGCAGAGTCAAAAAGACACTGAGGAACTTAAAATCTCAAGCACAAGCTTGCAAAACCATTCAAGTGAAAGTGAAGACAGAGTTTCAGATCTTGAAGACGCTGGTGCAGTTAGTGAAAAGGTAAGAAACGATCTCTTAAACACAACTAGGATGCAGGAAAGAATAATCCATCACTTGCAAGATGATGCAAAGATGAACAATGTGAGACTAATAAGCATCAATGAGGAAGGAGTCAATACAAATGATATTTAAAAAAATATGGGTAGAAGTAATAGCAGAAAATGTCCCAAATCTGAGGAAACAATCTGACAACCAGTTAACCAAAGCATACAGAACACCAAATAACTTCAAACAAACTAAAAAAACACACTGAGACATATAATAGTCAAGATCCCAGAAATCCAGCATGAGAATATTATACTGAAAGATGCTAGAGAAAAAAAGCAGATCACATTCAAAGGAAAACCCATCAGAATTACAGCCAACTTCTCTTCACAAACTATGAAGGCAGGAAGAGTATGGAGTAGAGTACTTCAAGTCCTCTATGAAAACAAATTGCAGCCCAGACTACTACACCCTGCAAAACTCTCTTTCAAGTTTGATGCAAGAGTGAAATACTTCCATGACAAAGAACAACTAAAGAATTTCATGAAGACAAAGGCAACCCTACACAAACTATGGAAAGATGTTCTAGAGAGGGACCAAAATGATCAGAACTCCATGAATGAGAACAGAAGGAACCCACTAAAAAGGGCAAACACTTAAACACAAGAGAAAAAGGAAAAAGGTCTAAATAACAGCAGGTAAATAACATGTCAATTGTAAGTCAATACATCTCAATTATTACCACTAATGTAAATGGACTCAATTCACCAATTAAAATAAACTGCCTGGCACAGTGGATTAGGAAACAAAATCCACAACATACAAGAAATACACTTAATTTATAAATAAATTCATAGGCTGAAAGTCAAAGGATGGAAAAAAATACTACACACCCCAGCACCTCAGAAAAAAAGCAGGGATAGCAATCCTGTTCTCAGACAGCCTCAACTTCAAACCAACTATGATCAAACAAAGTAAAAAAGGCAACTATATACTAGTTTGGGGAAAACTTCAAGAGGAAGAGGTAACAGAAATAACAATTATTATGTTAATAACAATTCATAAATATTTATGCACCAAACATGGGAGAACCCAACTATGTAAGACAAATCTTAATGGACATCAAAAATCTAATATCCAATACCACAATCTTAACAGCAGACTGTAATACCCCTTTATCCCAAACAGACAGGTCAAGCCAACAAAAAATTATCATAGAAATAGCAGAACTGAACCAGAGCTCGGAACAAATGGACTTAGTGGGCATAAACAGAGTGTTCCATCCAAAACCAGCTGCATACACATTTTTTTTCAGCTGTACATGGGTCATTTTCCTTTTTCTTTTTTTTCCTTTTCACAGTATTTTTTAAAATAAAATAAAATTTTCAGATTTTATTTATTCTTGCAGTTTCACACACTAGTGAGATAATAAAATGCTTGCATATGTGAATATAATTTATTTCACTTACACAGCTTCTAGTTGCATCATTTATCTACAAAAGCCTCATTTTCTAAAATAGACCACATACTAGTCCATAGGTCATGCTTAAGTATATGCAAGAAAACAGAAATTATCCCATGCATATTATCTGACCATGGTGCAATCAAACTGGAAATCAATGACAAACCAGAAAAACCCCATAAATCCATGGAAATTAACCAACACTCTACTCAGCAAACATTGGGTCACAGATGAAATTAAACAAGAAATTCAACAATATTTACAATTCAATGAAAAATCAAGCACAACATATCAGAACTTATGGGATGCAAAGAAAGCAGTTCTCAGAGGCAAATTTATGGCTGTGAACTCACACATTAAGAAAACAGAACGGGAACAAGTAAACACCATAAGGTTGCACCTCCAACATCTAGAAAAGGAAGAGAAAACCAAACACAGAGCCCAAAGATGGGAAAAAAATCATAAAGATGAGAGAAGAAATTAATTCAATTGAGACGAAGAAAACAATTCAAAGGATTAATGAATCAAAAAGCTGGTTCTTTGAAAGATTAAATAAAATCAATGAGCCCCTAGCTAACCTCAAAAAAGGGAAAGAAAAAAATTAAACACAAGCAATAAGGAATGAAAGGAGTGTAATTACCACAGACCCAGTGGAAATTCAGAAGATTATCACTAGCTGCTTTGAGAATCCCTACTTTCACACAATAGAAGACATATGAAATAGATAGATTCCAAGAAAGGTACAAATTTCCAAATCTGAATCAAGAAGATATAACAACTCTGAATAATCCAATTATAGCCAATGAAATACAAAATGTAATAAAAAACCAACCAACAAAGAAAAGTCCAGGTCCTGATGGATTCACAGCTGAATTATACAAGAAATTTATGGAAGTTATAATCCCTATACTCCTTAAACTAATCAATGAAATTGAAAAGGGAAAAGTCCTCCCAAAATCATTCCTGGAGGCAAGAATTATACTGATACCAAAACCAGGGAAAGACACAACTAAAAAAGAGAACTAGAGGTCAATCTCATTCATGAACATAGATGCAAAAATTCTCAATAAAATCCTAGCATATAGAATACAACAAATCATCAAGAAGACTATAAACCATGACCAGGTAGGATTCATCCCAGGCATGCAAGTATAGTTCAATATAGGCAAATTTATAAATGTGATACATTATATCAATAGAGCATATTCTAAAAACCACATGATCATCTCAATTAGGCAGAAAAGGCTTTTGACAAAGTCTAACACTCATTCATATTCAAAGTTGAAAATTCGACTAGATGGCCTCTACTTCAATATGATAAAAGCCATCTGTGACAAACCAATTGCTAACATAATTCTAAACGGGGAAAAATTGAAATCTTTTACTCTCAGATCTGGTACAAGACAAGGATGTCCTCTATCACCACTCCTATTCAATATAGTTCTGGAATCACTAGCTAGAGCCATTAGACAAGAGAGAGAAATAAAAGGAATAAGAATAGGTAAAGAAGAAGT